GTCGCCAGGCAACGGCCGCGGGCAACGGCCCGGCGGAGGCCTGTGGGGCCGGGTTGCGGCGCTGACAGCTCCCCGCTGAAACCCCCCACCCGCTTCAGGGATGAAATCTGCCCTCAGACCCCGGGGAAGGGGTCGTCGGGGCAGGGGTCGGGTTGTAGCCCACCCCCGGGGGAGGGGGGCGAGCGAGGGGTCTCGCACAGGTGGAGGGGCGCGAGCCGCGAGTCGTCGCACCTCAGCGCCGGCGGGTGGAAGAGCTTTTTTCCTGTATCAGAAATAGTGTGGCCAGCGGGAACAGGGAGGTGATTGTCCCCCTGTACTCGGCACCGGTGAGGCCACACCTCGAGTCCCGTGTTCAGTTTTGGGCCCCTCGCTACAGGAAAGACATGGAGGTGCTGGAGCGCGTCCAGAGAAGGGCAATCGAGCTGGTGAGGGGCCTGGAGCACAAGTCTTGTGAGGAGCGGCTGAGGGAACTGGGGTTGTTTAGTCTGGAGAAAAGGAGGCTGAGGGGAGACCTTATCGCTCTCTACAACTGCCTGAAAGGAGGGTGTAGTGAGGTGGGTGCTGGTCTCTTCTATCAAGTAACTAGTGATAGGACGAGAGGAAATATCCTCAAGTTGCACCAGGGGAGGTTTAGATTGGATATTAGGAAAAATTTCTTCACTGAAAGGGTTGTCAGGCATTGGAACAGGCTGCCCAGGGAAGTGGTTGAGTCACCATCCCTGGAGGTATTCAAAAAGCGCGTAAACGGGGTACTCCATAACATGGTTTAGTGGGTATGGCTGATGGTTGGACTCAATGATCTTGAAGGTCTTTTCCAACCTAAATGATTCTATGATTCTCTCTCTGAGGCTGCAAAGTGCCAAGAGGCAGTCGAAGAAGCGTCACGGCAGCGGCTAGGACTGTCGCTGGCAAAAGGCGTTGCAGTTCGGAGGTGGTTTGCCGTGCGACGGCTGCTGGAGGAAGCTTGGACGACGCCAGGACGTACCTTATGGGATGGTTTTGCAATAACGTATTTCACCAGGGATGTCGTTTTGAACTTGCTGATTGCATCACTGAGCCAAGCCTACTGCACGACTACAGATAAAAGAAGAAAGTGTGCTAACCCACTAAACGGTTTTATCTGTCTATTAAAAACAATAAGGTGGCAAACTGGGAAACAACCAGGCCGTCTTCATCAATGTTATAGGAGGCAGTCATAGCAGCCTATGTGTTTTCAAGTTCCTTATAGGCATTATGGTAAAGGGGTTTGGGAGGGATCTGAAGGAAACTGGCTGTGTTGCCGTGTTCGTTGTCATGAGGAGCATAAGGGACAACTTAATTGAAAACATGAAAGTGAAAGCTTAGAAATGTGGTGAGTGGGCAATGAATCCCAGCAGCCAGGGCCAGTTGGAGGCAGTTTCTTGACATTGAATGGAAAAGGATCAATAGGGAGGGGTAAAGCAAAGAAGTACCTGAAAAGTGCATGCAGGTAATTCATAGATGATAGTAAAGGAACTGTCCTTTGAATGACAGGAGAGATGCAGCATTGGTATGCTGAATGATGGGAACCAGAAAATACTGCATTAGCCAGGCCAGAGAAAAGATGTGGGAATCACTTAGATACTATGGGGAATATGCAAAAATTTTAATTCATTTATGACTAACGTGTCTGAGTCATGTTACACACTGATTTTGTATTGTTACCTGCTGGGAGTTGTGTGGATCCATCGCCCTACAGGTATCGTGTGACTATGGGAAGGTGTTGGCAGGAGTCATTACAGGCGATTCATATGCATGGAGTTAATTCCAGCGACAGTGGCTGTGCATTTAGATGGGAGCAAATGGCTGACTGCAAGAGGGAGCCGGTTCCTCAGATTCTGTGGAGGCAGTAGAAAACCCTGCAATGAAAACACATGGCACAAAGGTGCTGATGCTGGGATTTAGAAATCACTGGGTACAGAGGCAAATTTTACAAGACAACTGAAATACGAGAACTTGGCTTGGGGAGCAGTTACTGCTACATTTAAAGATTTTGCCTGTGCTTTGCCACGCTAACCAAAGAGCTTCCTGTGATGGATTCCAGATGACTAATAAACACTGGCCTCTTGTGAAAGGTGGCTTGTGCCACTGTGAGTGCTGCTGGTGGCATCCCTTTCAAGTCCCTATGAAGCTCTGAGCTAGTTTGCTTCACTAGATGGTGCTGTATCCCAAAGGGCTGATCTTCACATTCAGGGGGGAGGAAGAAACGTGCTCTTAACAAAGCAGCAGTGCCTAGAAGCTTCAAGGGGAACTTGAGAGACTGGAAACGAGACTGCTGAGTAAAACTTTGCATATCTCTAATATTTGACTAGCAGATGGTGTACTGAATGTAACATCAGCAGTTTGAGTTAGTGTTTCAGCCATAGAAACAAACTGAGTCAAAGAGAATGATAAGAGAAAGGGAGTATAGCCATTTCCCAAAGGGGAAGATTACAGAACTATGTAAAGATAAAGCTTTAACCACTGGGAGCTTAACCAGGGCATAGCTGATCAGCCAGCTCATGAAGAGTGTTCAGTCTAAAATTCCTGGGCCAGAGCTCAACAGGGTCCAAGTATGCACTCCCTGCTACGTGGAGGTTTAGTGTAAAAGGAGGGAAGGTCTGACCCTCTCAGCACCCAGCGTGGAAAGCCATGGAGAACCATAGCAAGGAACTACACCGCAGCAAGCATGATGGCGTGTATGTTATTTCAGTTTTGGATGCTTACTATACTGATTCCTGTTTTACTGTTCTGCAGAAGACTCAAATGTACACTTCAGATAGTCTCCATCTAACATTTAATGGGTCAAACATTTAATGGGTTCAAAAGTCAGAAAGACTTATAGTTAAATGAATAGAACTTTTTAACTTCCAAAAGATTATAGATTCTTCAGAAGCCTACAGTGTGCATAATCTGATGTTTACAGAGGAAAACTTGATGTATACAAAACAGTAAGAGAGTGATGGCTATTGAAGTTGCAACCACAATAGGAGATTTTCTTCAAAATTGGAGTATACATACCAGTACCTGTATGACTTGGAAAGTTTATAGCGATTCTTTGAATTACATATGTGCCTACACCCTAAAAAAATGTGATTTTTTGATTGGAAGGCTAATGATTTATTCATCATTGGCGAACATTTAGATAGTAATCTGAATTATGGTAAAATTTGGGAGAAAGTAGGTCAGCTTATGGAGGGTTGGCACAGACAGGATCCCAAGAAATGGAATTTAGGTAAATCCATTGACCCAAGCAGAGAGGTCATAGCAACCTGTGATTTAATACGACCAGGTCAGATAGGAGGAAGCTGCCTCAGAAACAGAAGGACCCACAAAGAGTTAACTTAGTAAAAACCCATATAGGAAGTGTCTGCTCTCATAGCTGTAGGGCTAAGAGTATGCTTGAGTCGGAAAGGGGAAAAACTTTGCTGCTAACTCATCAAGCTGCCTGCTTACTTCTCGTGTGTCAGTTCCACTTGTGCGAACAGCAGTGGTTACTAAGAGCAAACAAAGGGGGGAAACGCTGTACGACCACAGCAGAGCTGGGCAGGAAGAGTGTCCAGCGGTATCAGGGTACAGGGGCTGAGGTAACGTCTGCCAAGTCCTATTTAGTACATCAGTCAAAGTTTGTTTTCCTATGAGTAATTCTGAGATGCATGTTCAGATCCCTTCCTAGGATGCTTGTAGCACATGTACACCTGAATTATGGTGCCTATAGATTTTGCTGTTTGATATTCACAGACAGAGGCAGTCATGGAAGCTGTATTACCAGGCTTCTGCAAGGTAACTTGACAGTTCCCAGAGATGAAAGAGCTAAATTTATGTCATCTCTTCCTTGACACTTTTAGAAAAAAAAAGTCTGAGTTGAGGTGATTCTGAGCCATCACTTTGTGTCTTCAGGCTGATAGGCCAATGAAGACATGGGACTTCTTTAAAATAATGTTTAACATATTTATGGACTAGCATATTCAGAACCGGGATCTGCATTTACTCTACTTACGGTGTGCCTGCCTGTGGGAGTGCATTGTTGCATTTAAAAAAGAGGAGTAACTAGAGAAAAAAGCGGTGGCAGGTATGTGCTGATTCTTACGGAGAAATTCAGTTTGTGAGTTAGGCAAGGACAACAAGGTCAAGGAAACAAAATGTCTTATATGACAGTACAGCATTTGCTATTCACATGGTATAGGGCAATCAGATGAGATACAAAAGAATAGCTCTAAGTTGCCTGATAAAGATCCTTAAAAAGCCATCAGATAGCTGGAAGAGGTGAACTAAGTTGCTGAATGCCAGGAGCACACTTTATAAATGTGATGAAGTTGTCCAATGGGAGGAGAAAAAGGAAGAGCTTGTACTAAGCTTACAAGAGGCAAATTGCTTGCTGGAATCAATGTACCTTTGAAATAACTAACTGTACGGGAAGCAGAGAGGAGAAGCAGATGTGCAAGTTTATTGCTATTGCAATCTGTGGCACTTGCCTATACCTACAGCTGATGAGACAGATGTAGGAATACAGGGCTTTTATGGGTAGCTATTAGGGATTATACTGTCATAATTTCCTTCCCATCCTTCTGCCCTTCATGTTTTAGGGCTGTTTGATAGAGCTGCTTGTGGCTTACTGATAGTGAGTGTCTTTAGACTGAGATGCCTTGCTTAAGTTTGCCTTTACATTCAAACAGAATTTGTGGATTCCTCACCTTAACTAAGGGCTACCTCCTGCCTTTCAATGGAAAAGTTAGTAAGGAGGTGAGATACACACTGTCATGTTTTGACAGCATTTGTATTTTTTCCTGTACCATGAAGAAACATGTCATGAATTAGGAAGGTACATGCTTGACTGGAAAGGTAGGGAAATGTGAAAAGATGGTGGAAATGGCTTATTTAGGACACAACACAGATGATAGCTTTTCAAACAAAGCAGCAGATTGAGTCCTTTGCTGAGATGGTGACACACGTTTGTACACTATTCCAGCTCTGTTC